CCTTATATATACTCGAGCAATCCGATTTCTCATTTTGTAGTAAGCTTCTCTCTGAATCCTCTAAAGGTTCTCTCTAATTCGTAGTTAGGTGATTAGATTAGGGAATTTAGATTAGGTGGTTAGTTTAGGGAATTTAGATTAGATGGTTAGTTTAGGTAATTTAGATTAGGTTGGTTTACTTTTTTAACTGTTTTTTAAATTATACGGGAATTAATGTTTTGATTTTTTTTTATTTTTTAAATATAGATGCCTAGACAGAGCAAGATTGCTAGGGCTGCTGGTAAGAGGACGTCGTCTCTTCAGGGGAGTCACTACGGATATATTTTCGGGCGTCAGGATGCTCCCGGTTCATCTTCGTCAGCTCCCGGTTCATCTTCGATTCCGGATCGTGACGCTGTTCCCAAGACTCAGGGAGCTTCTACGGCGTCCCAGCAACCACCTCCTCCTCCTCCACCTCCTCCTCCTCCTCCTCCTCCTCCTCCACCGGTCGGGGTTCATCCCGATTTGCAGGTCCCGCCGAACGCACCCTTTGCGGTGTACACGGTGGAGGATATTTTGGCCCTTCCAGGCAGAGAAGGGCTGCCAGAGTTAGATCCTCTCCGACGGGACGGCGAAAACGTATTACGGTATGTTTTAGTTTTAAAAAGTTTATTTTTAAATTATTTCTTAATTAACAAAATATTTACAAATTAATATAATTAATGATTTATTTTGTGTCTTTCCAGGTTTGGTCTTGACAATTGTGTCGCAACTACCGTCACGAACTGTATCAAGGGATACTTTCCCGATGCAGCTCCAAACTGGAAGAAGACGGCGAGCCACACAAAAAAAAGACGTGGTTCAAATCGTTCGCTGTACGTTTAATTAATGACCAACTTAATTTACTTTTAATTATTTAAAATTATTAATATTATTGAACTAATCCGTCTCTTATTTTTTCTGGTTACATCAAAAATATCGTTGGTCTATTGGGATTCACCAGCGGGTGAAGACGAAGTTTGAGGCCAAGGCAAGAGCACGATTGCTCGACATGGTCTACAACTGGAAGTGCGACTTTCAGGTATGGATTTATAAATTATAATATATATATATAATTTTAAAAATATTATTGTTTAAATCAGGTGGATGGTTACGAGGACGGGAAACCCGATTGCCTCACAACCACGGTGTGGGATGGCCTCATCAGCTATTGGGGGTTGCCGGACTCAGTCAGAATTGAACCTCCAACGCAAACTCCGGGAACCGCATGAACAGAGACGAGCATGGCAACACGAAGATGCTTCACACCACGGGTCGAAAACCTCATGGGGGAGTTTGTCTAGACATGGTAAGAGGATTTTTAATAACTAATTAATTTTTGTTTTATTTGAATATTCCAAATTAATATTTAATTTTAAAAATTAATTTTAGGCTAAAGAGACATGAGTTCTTCCATCTCCGAAAGACCTTTACGAGCGGACCCACCGGAACAAGGCTGGGCAGTTTGTAGATCCTGCTTCCGAGCGGATCTACAACGAGGTTGTTGCCCGAGTTGACGAACGCCAGACCCAGCTGACTCAACAGACTGGGACTCCAGTCATATTATCCACTCTTGAAATGGATAAGGTTTACGAGGAGGTAATTAATTTGTTTTACTATTAATTTTTATTATTTATTTTAATTTTGTTCTTAACGTTATTAATATTTTTATTTACAGATCTCCCCTAGGAAAAAGGGGCGTATCGTCGGGATTGGCTTGGTTAACGATGTCCCTGCAGCGACATCGTCTTATCATCAGGAGCAGCACGATGCCAATGTTCAGCTACGCTCGGAGTTGGCTTCGCTCACCGAGCATGTGACTTCTCTCACCGATGTCCTCGACATTTTAGCGGTTGGAAACCCGCAATTGGAGGAGATGTTGCGTCAGAGACGGGAACACGGAGGGCTTCCAACCCAACAGCATCCACCATCACAGTCACAGCCGGCAACCAACTTTGGTGAGGAGCATGATTTCCCGAGCCAGGACGAATTCGTTCGGCAATTTCACGACCAGCATCCGTAGTTTGTTTTTTTAATTGTATATTATGAATTTTAAAACTTAATTGTATATTATTTAGTTATTTATAAAATATTTTGTTTTTTATTTTTATTTATAATTTGATTTTTTTTATTTAAAATTTTTTTTTTCATATTTATAATTAATTTTTTTTAATAGGGGAAAATGTATTTCGAAGCAAAATCCTCGTAAAGTTTCCAAGTAAAGTCCTTGTAAGTAATTCTAGTAAGTTCCTCGTAATGAATTACTACGAGCTTACGAGGAAAAACTAACTACGAGCTTACGAGGAAACCCTACGAGGACCTTATGAGGAAAATCTAACCACGCCTTTACGAGGAAAAGTTTCCTCGTATTTTAGCTAGGACTTTACGAGGAAAAATGCTTTACGATGAACGTGTTTCGACGAAACGCGTTTCCTCGTAAGTTCCTAGTAAATGGTCATTTACTAGTAATGGACGAGTTTTCTTGTAGTCTCTCTCACCGCCGTCTCCTCTTCTCGTAGTTTCTCATCTATGGTTGCTTCCTTGCAGTCTCTCACCGCTCTCTCACGAGATTTCTAGTTTCTTCAATGTATATCACTACTGCCATGCTGTCTTTTACTGTTATTTACTGTCGCTCGATGTCTCCCCTCTGCCCTCAGTGTTCAAAATAATCTGCAGCCTTTCTCCTAATGAACTTAATTTTAGATGCTGCAGATGATGGCTCTCTTCGACCTGAGTCAACGGATCTGTCATATCACTTCTAATCCCCCAGTTGTGTGCTCTGAAGGTTTCATTACAGGCTTTAGAGCTTAGAACAGCTTGCTCGGTATACATTACCCCAACCTCTCTTCCTATTCCTATTTGCCAGTTTGCTTTCTCATTTCCCTGGTCTTGTGGCAAATTTATCACTTTTGTACAATTCCTTACTGGAGTATGCAGCTTCCTTCCAGTTCCAGTCTGGATAATGGTAATGTGAAGGTTGTTTTAATTAATTTATGGCAGATTAGTTTTAGTATGTTATATTTTTCAGTAAATCTGGTTGATTATTCCTCTATGGAATTTGTGTTCTTCCCAAAATTTCCATTTGGTTTTAGTGGTGTTGTTGCAGGTAGTTTGATGCCAATTGTTACAAATGCTTCGATGTTCTTTCTGTCCAAAGGCTCAGCTATCCAGTGCTTTGTCACCTCTGTGTTTACAGACGATTTCATAATTGTTACTTGAGCACAAGTTGCGGTTCCAGTCTCGTGTATACGAATACTTAATGTGAGCAAAAAAAAGAGTGGACGCGAGGAGTGTGGATGAGTGAAATATGGTTAGAAAAATGTGAATGAAAATTATCGACTCACCAAAGCTTCGTACTCTTTTTTCAGCATCTTCTTCTATTTTTTTTTGTCTTTGTTTTTATGTTGAAAGATTCATGTGTAGATATTCAATCAAAAATATCATGAATTGTTTAACGACAAAATATAGTATGGATCAAAAAAAAATTGTAGATGCCATTTTGTGGTAACTGATTTGTGGACATACATGTTTCTGTTGGAGAATTGTGGACGCCATGTCGTGGTCAATGTGTGTTTTCCATCTTTATGAAACCAAATGTCTCTTGGCTTGTACATGAGAAGGCCTGACTGTGACAGTATCACTTACTGGTTGCATTCAACGCTGCTGCACATACCCCTACACCATTCAACATCCAGTTTCTCAAAATGTGCCATCAAGCCCACAAAGACATACATGATCAAAGTTTCAGAAATCGAAGACATTGGCAAAAACTTAGACTGAACAAAAACTCAGAGAACACTCTACCATGAATCTTTATGGAGTACAAAGTTTTAAAAGTTGGAATCTTTATTATCATCAGTTACAAAGGAAGATCATCTATTCCAATTTCATGAAAATTGTCAAAACATTATGCTATTGACAAGCCTATAACCACTCTTATTAAGCTTCTTCATAGAAGCAACAACATTCAAATTTCTACCTTTCATAAAACCTTCCATCATCTCTCTCTGATCTCTTCTCCTTTCTCTGCCACATAAATCCCCACAACCTTCGTTGGTCCAGCTCCACTCCTCAGCACATCCAAACGCTCCAGATCCAAAGCCGCTTTTTTCCACAACTTCTTTCCCTGGAATCAATGGAACTGTCGTCGTCTCAACAATCTTATCAGATGATAAAGCCTTCTGGAGCATCACCGCCTCTTATCCTGACGCTGCAGCTATCAATGCTTACTTCCTTAACTTCCACCTAACTATCTAGTTAACTGCTGCAGCAGTGCTAGATGCGCTTGAGCCTAAAACAATCCCTAAAGGAAGACCTTTTTTCAAATCTAACGACAAACTAACCGATCTAATCCCTACATCTTCATCGTCGCAATCGTAGTGATTTCGGCGCAGTTTCAGAGTGTTTGTGATGGATCCGGTAATTTCCAAGATTAAGATCTCGCCGGCGTAAAATTCTTGGCGGTGGAGTAAACCGCCGACTCCGGTTCAATGGCGAATAGAGTTTGTACGAAACTCTGCATTGAAAGACGAGAGAAACTGTGGAGAATATCTACCGTAATGGTTTCGAGTAAACTAGACAAATCACTCTCAAAATGTGACTTACAAGCAGAATGTAACTTTATTTGTAATTGAAAAGACAAATTGTGTCTTCGAATGTAAAATTTTCGAAACATAATTGGTTACACAGTTTTTGATGAAGTTAAAGTTACCTAGTTATGTGAAAATTTCATTTATTATGAAACAGAATCAGTCACCTATAAATTTATCTATATTGAAACGGAGGGAGTATATGAAAGAAAAGAATAATTAACAAGAAGAGGACATGAAGCACAGAGATTCTGCAGACTGCAGGTGACCAATGGACAACTTTAATAAAAACATACCTACTCTCTCTACACTTGCAACTTTGCAACACAACCCTCTTTCTCTAATTGCTGTCTCTCTCTCTTCTTCATCATCAATTCTTCTCTCTGTTTCTTTATGGCGACCAGGATTCCTTTCACTGAGTCACAATGGGAAGAGCTTGAAAATCAAGCTCTTGTGTTCAAATACTTAGCTGCAAACGTTTCAGTTCCTCCTCATCTCCTCTTCCTCATCAAAAGACCCTTTCTCTTCTCTTCTTCTGCGTCCTCTGTGTCCTCTTCATCTTCCAATTTATTTTCTCCACACTGTAAGGAAACTTTTTCTTCTTCGCTTTGACCTATAACTTTTTTTAATCAATTGCAGTATCCTTAGGGTTGATTTGGTTATAATGTACAGACCATAATATGTTTTTGTGTAGTTGGGTGGAATGTGTACGAGATGGGAATGGGAAAAAAGATAGATGCAGAGCCAGGAAGATGCAGAAGAACTGATGGGAAGAAATGGAGATGCTCTAAAGACGCTTCTCCTGAATCTAAGTACTGTGAAAGACATATGCACAGAGGCAAGAACCGTTCATCAAGAAAGCCGCTTCCTCTTCCTTCTCCTCCTCCTCAATTATCTGTTCCTTCGACACCAAGTATCTTTCTAGACTTTCCTCTCTCTTCTTCCAGGTTTGGGACACACTCCTCTCTTTTAGCTTTTTTCATTCTTTTTTTTAATGTTTTTTTTTTAGTTTTTCATTCTAATGGCAACATAAAACTTGAGCCTGCTTTCTCTTAATGTGAAGGGTAAGAAGTAAAAGAACTGGATACATAGATGATTTCTTGTCCATAGAGCCTTCCGGGTCAATCAAAAGCTCCTCTGGCTTAGCAATGGAAGATGACGATGGCTGTTGTAGATATAAGTCTCTGAAACAAAGGGAGAAGCAGCCTGATCGAAGTTGCTTTATCCTTGGCACTGATTTAGGGACGCTTGAGAGTCCATTAATGGTCGAGGAGAAGCTGGGACAAAGAGATGATAAAGATTATGAATTAGAAGAAGAGCAACGGAGTAAGAGATTTTATAAGTTTCTTGATGAATGGCCTTCTTCTAAGTCTTCTGTTTCCACCTCTCTCTTCATTTGATTATCTTTTACTCTGTTGTTGTTGTCGTCAAAGCTGTGTTTCTTATTTACTAATGGAGTTTCTCTCGCTTTTGTTTCACTTAAAGTTCTTTTTGTCCTTGCATAGACAACTCTTGACTTATGTTAGTATAAAAATTTGTTTTTTACCTATGTAATATGGTGAGAAACTTTTCTTGCTAATAGCCTAAAGTTATTAAAAAAACAAAAGTTATATCTCGCTAAGTAAAATTATACAAGGATTAAGGAAATAAGTATGTGATAATTTATTTGCTTGTTGCTAAATAAAATTTAGCAATTCAATTTTCTACCATTTATTATGTCTGATAGGTTGAGTCATTCGTCAAAACCTTGTTCTTTAAACATATACTGTGTAGAGTAGATTTTCTCTTTCTTTGGTTTTACAGTAAATACCAAATGTTGTACGAGTAACTGTTTTCTACTGATACTTGCATAACTAATGAGATAAAAAAAGTATACATGATTGATTTGTTTACGAAGTGAACTAATAATATCCACCTAGCTACTATAATTATGTTGCAGATGGAGACTCATTGGCAGATTTTAAATATAAAGAAAAAAAAAAACAAAAACCAAAGGTTGATGCATAAATCATAAATATTATGGTATCATGTAAGATCATAAATATAATGGTATTATGTAAGTATATTTTCTGCTAAATTAACATGCTACTAGATCTCGACCCGCACAACCGTGCGGGTATTTTAATACGAAAAAATTTAAAAATATATAATACTCCTTCCGTTTCAAATTAGATGATGTTTTAGAAGATTTATTTTCTTTCAAAATATAAGATGTTTTAAAATTTTAAAATATAGTATAAGGTTATTTTTAACTTAATTGGAAAATGTAAAACTAATAAAATTTTACTTTTTTGTAATAATTGGTTGAATGATTTTAAAATTATATATGTAAAAAAATGTTGTAAAAAAATGTAAATTTCTTAATCTTTGTGCAATGATCCAACACATCATATATTAAGAAACGGAAGGAGTAAAATTTATCAATAAATAAATATAATTTGATTCTTTATACTATCTAATTTTATAATAATATTTATGTGGTTTATTATATTATTAATATAAAATTTATAAATTTATATTTTATTAACAATTTGTAAAAATATTATTATGTAACATTACTAATTTATATTTTGTTTTATTTCTAAATTTGAAATATATGTAAAAACTAAATTAAGTTTGACCTACATAATACATAACCAAAATTTTGGGATATTGTTAAAAGCATTTTACATAATTTTAGTTGTTTTTTTATAAATAAGAATCAATTAAAAGTTTAATTATATTTTATGATAATTAAAATTATAATTAAATAATTTTTCAAACTATATCTTGAAAAGATTCTAAAAAATCATTTAAAAGATTTTGTTAAAATTTTCTTAAAACTATTTTATTTGTATTTAAAATAAAAACTATATGAAAAGATGTTATAATGATGTTATGTAAAATTTTATAAAATTTCTAAGGATGATCCAAACTAAAAAATCACACATGAAGTGAGTCATGACTTCTCTTTTAATATAATAGATTTGGTTAAATCACCAGTAAAATTTATATTACCTATTAAAACATACACGTAAACTCTATTTATAAGTTTGATATTCATTGTTTTTTTTCCAAATAAGTAATTAATATACAGTAAAAAAGGAAAAAAAAAAACATTGTACATATTAAGTGAAAGAGAAAATATAAGGAAAATGAAAAAGTGAAAAAGAAAAAGAAATGGTGTGTGAGAATCAGGGGTGATGAGAAAAAACAGGTTTGCGTTGAGTTGAGTTCTGTTCCCTGACATTGGTCAGGTCTGGAAAAGCCACACACCCAATCAAAAGCTTTTTGCTCTGACTGAGAGAGAGAGAGAAAGATGACTTATCATTCTCATCAAATTGAATTTTCTAAGACATTGGTTCAGTTTTTTGAATCTTCTCACACAACGCAAATGCTACTTTCTTTTTATATGTTTGCTTATAGAATAAACAATTAGATGTAAATTCAAAAACTATGGTACAGATGTAAAGTATAAAATATACCACAATCTCTACAAAGATACGTGTATTTGCTAGTATTCTTTTAAATATAACTTATAAATTTTCTTTAAACAAAATCCCAAACCTCACACATGCTAAGATCGAATACAAGATCTTAGAACCTCTCTTCTTAGTCTTTAGTGTTTTCACTCGTTTACAAGCTTATGAAAACCCACTCTTATGCTAAGAATATAATTATGGTGACAACCCTAATACCTAGGTCGTATAAAACTATATATACTTTATAGTCAAGTCGGCTACCCTAGTCTATCTATCCAATATTTACTAAATATCCAAATATGGTAAGTTCCCAAAAACCCATACTAAGTCTTTTATGAACTTCCCATTTACGAGATCTCCATTCTCCAAGATGAATCTCTTCATGCTTGCTCTTCAAGTCTTTGTTGCATTAACTTCATCTTGATCTCCAAGCCATTTTTCAAGTCTTTATCTTGTTCATCGGCATGCACACTCTCTGTCGTAGACTCTGGTCCATTTGTTGTTGCACTTGCATCTATATCATAATATCACCCTGATCGTTGCACCTTCAATCTCCTCCTTTTTAGCTTTGGATGCTCATCAAGTACCTGTAAAAGAATCCATTCACAACAGCCAAACATATCTGGACATATATTCCTGGATAGTACGTGCATTAAAAGACTTAAAAGGTTCAAGCCAAACAACCATAGGAGTTAAGAGAAATATAACACCGAAAAAAACAAAGACCAAGATTTTTGTGGGAACCGAAATCCACACTGTCGATTTTCTGTCAAATATGGAAACTTAGGATGAAACCCTAATTTTTCCGAGGTCCCGGATCTCAGCGAAAATCACTAAAACAAACGAATTCAAAAGAATATGGATGAACAATAAAGAACAAAGAGTAAGAACTTGTGCGAAAGGTTTTATTAAATTAGAATCGACAACTGTTACAAGAAGAATTGAAGAACTTAGACGTCAAAACGTTCTAAGGATCTGAATTGCTAGTCTAAACGCTAAGTCCTAAACTCCTAAGCTAACAGCCGTCTTTTTAGGTCTAATTTTCGTCCCCCTCTTCTGTCCTACGCCTCTGGTTTATATACTCCTTGCCTTGACGGTTCGATCTTTCCATTTTGCCGGATTTGAGTATTTTTCTTGATCCTTCCTTTTCTTCCGCGGAAATCTTCTTATTTATCTTCAAACTTGCCTTTATTTTCCTTCTGCGAATAAACCGTCAAAACGTTATCAATTCTGCGGGTTAGATTCCATTGAAATTGCGAGATGGGTTTTTATCGCGTTTTAGGTCCTTCCGGGCCGTTTTGCGATAAAAACCGTTTTCCGACTTTTTACGGGATCGTTTCCTGATCTGACATCGTTTTTAATAAATTACTCGAGTTAATCGGAAGGTCTTACGATTTACTCGGCTTTTTATTAAAAACACGTTTTTTACGACTTACTCGGCGTTTTTTATTAAAAACACGTTTTTATGATTTTAACGAGAAATCTCGAATAAATCGCATAATTTAGGCAATGTTCGGTGCTTCGTTTAACCGTTGCCGTTTTATACGATTTCCTCGAGTTTTTTTCCGAGAAAGCGAAGTTTTATGGTTTTTATCGTAAAACTCGAACGGTAAGTCAGATCGAGATGGAACGGGAAATGTTTTAGCCGTAGTTTGGAATGCGATCGTGTCGAAAGACGTAAGTTTTGAATCGGGGATGCGGGAAATCGAGACGCGGGATATCCGAGAAGTTTTTAGTTCGCCCATCGGCGAACTAAGCCGGGCCGGCTTAGTTCGCCGATGGGCGAACTAGTGGAGTGTCCCTAGTTCGCCCATCGGCGAACTAGTGGAGTGTCCTTAGTTCGCCGATGGGCGAACTAGTGGAGTGTCTCCTAGTTCGCCCATTGGCGAACTAAGCCGGGCCGGCTTAGTTCGCCCATGGGCGAACTAGTCGTGACTAGTTCGCGTTTTACGGCTGTTTCGGTTTTTTGCGGTTTCGTAAAACGATTCTTCGAGTTTTATAAAACGATTCTTGAATTTTATAAAACGATTCTTCGAGTTTTATAAAATGATTCTTCGAGTTTTATAAAACGATTCTTCGAGTTTTATAAAACGATTCTCGAGTTTTATAAAACGATTCTCGAGTTTTATAAAATGATTCTCGAGTTTTATAAAACGATTCTCGAGTTTTATAAAGCGATTCTTCGAGTTTTATAAAACGATTCTCGAGTTTTATAAAACGATTCTTCGAGCTTTATAAAACGATTCTTCGAGTTTTATAAAACGATTCTCGAGTTTTATAAAACGATTCTCGAGTTTTATAAAACGATTCTCGAGTTTTATAAAACGATTCTCGAGTTTTATAAAACGATTCTCGAGTTTTATAAAGCGATTCTCGAATTTTATAAAACGATTCTCGAGTTTTATAAAACGATTCTCGAGTTTTATAAAACGATTCTCGAGTTTTATAAAATGATTCTCTAGTTTTATAAAACGATTCTCGAGTTTTATAAAACGATTCTCGAGTTTTATAAAACGATTCTCGAGTTTTATAAAACGATTCTCGAGTTTTATAAAACGATTCTCGAGTTTTATAAAATCACTTTTGCGGAAAGTAATGATCTCCCTTTTACAGAAGCTATCGCAGACGTTGATTTCGAGAGTACGGTTTTCGACACCAACAGTTAGCCCCCCAGTCCGCAATTTCTTGAGGAAATTTTNCCATCTTTCAAGTTTCTCTCCAACTTCTCTCTAGAAAAATTCTTAAGATGTCTTCTTCCCAAGGTGATCAGCAAAACCGTGAGGTCCCATCCAGTGACAATCCTCCGGCATATCCGCAGGATGCTCGGCTTTCCGAGTTTCTCTTGTTTCAAGACGAGATGGATCGTAGCGATGCTGAGGAAGATGCCGTGTCGAGCGACGTACCCCCAGTGGATTCGTCCGTCCTTGCAAGAGAAGTCAAGGCTATTTTGGACGAAACGGCGGATGCGGTAGTGGGCTCCTCGGCGGGTGTTGCCACTAAACCGTCGAGTGCGCCTCTCCTTGCAGCCGAAAA